GAAGATTCAGGAACACAACCCGGAAGACGTAGGAACACAACCCGGAAGACACCCGTCGGCCCCACACGTGTACTCGCTCGTACCACTGCTGTCCACAACAGAGCGAGTGACAGAACTTCGAGGGCAACCACAACAACACTAGCCCTTCTCTCGCTCTCTGATTGGCCAACGGGTTTATTCTTCCGCCTCTCTCAAAACTCAGATTTCCTCACTACGTCATTCAATCTTCCGCTTGTGCACTTTCCTTATTTTTTTATTTGAAAAGAAAAAAGAGAAAAGAACTTGTGCGTGAAAGGAGAAAACACACTCGCATGTAAAAATCCTAGCGGAAAAAGCATCCTCCCTACCGTCTGAAGAAAGTCGGCGACCCTACGTTGGTGGTCCTGGGGATTACTTCCCGCTAGGTTTCAGTGCTAGAGAGTGTTATAAGGTCCTGTCTCAGCCAGGTAAACGGTGAACCTTTTACCGGGTGGCTGAGTGGTCTACCTCCTTAACACATGGCGACGGCACGTGGATCACTGAAATTTCCTTCCTCTCTACCAGTTCCCTGAGAAAATGGTGCCTTACATCTATGTGCTTCGAGTTCGAGTTTGAGATGGGGTTCTGCGCTAGTTGAATCGCCCCCTGGTTGTCCTCACTGTGATGCACGGCATGCCGACCTGCGGCTACACGAAACGCCAAATTTGCCTCAAAAACAAAACCTCCTTCACTACGTCACCAAGCGCGACGTACTCTGTTTCTGTCGTCGAAAGCGTAACACACTTCTGCGTTCTGGAAAACCAAGACACGGCGCCTCCTCCACACGTGACGATCCCCCCTGATACCGACCTACGGTCTGCTGCCTTGCTTGCAAAGTCCGCATCAGCGTACCCCTGCAAACTGAAACCCTCTACTGTACCTCTCTGAAACGAAATACCGACGTGACTCGTCCTCCTCGCACACCCTAAAATATCCATCGCTGCATTCCAGTGGACCAGCTTCGGAGATGCGCAATACCTAGCTACCGCATTCGCAATATCTGGCCTAGTCTGAGTCGCCAGCCACATCAAAGATTCGACTAGTTCACGAAACGGAAAGTCTGTCGCCACCTCATCCGCATCAAAATCAGAAAGCTTCACCCCCGAAGACATCGGAACGCTCTTACCTCCCACTACTCCATACTCTGCTGCTAGCTCATCCGTGAAAGTCTGCTGAGAAATCGTCAACCTACCGATCTCCTTCTTCCTCTCGGAAAAGCACCCAGAATATCATCTCAACTCTCCCAGGTTCTTCACTGGCACGGACTCATTAAGGTCGGCACCAAACTTGTCACATCTCTCCCTCNCGTTCCTCTCGTAAAAGAACCCAGAATACCATCTCAACTTTCCCAGGTTCTTCACTGGCACGGACTTGTTAAGGTCGGCGCCAAACTTGTCACATCTCTCCCTCTCTCCCACAGCAAAAATGTCATCTAAATGTGCTACCAAAATCAAAACAACACATCCATCCTCAATCAAACGAAACACACAAGCATCGGCCATGCACTGCTCGAAACCTAACGCCACCAAACACCTCTTCAGCATTGCATGCCACTGCCTAGATGCCTGTCTTAAGCCATACAGACTCTTGCCTAGTTTTACAATCATTCCTGATAGAGCTCCACATCCCTGCGGCAAACGCATGTACACGTCTTCCTCCAACTCCGAACGCACAAAAGCTTGCTCAACATCGAAATGACACAAGTCGAGGTTCAACTCGCACGCCAAAGCAGCCAACATCCTAACACATGAAACAGAAACGGTAGGCGCGTACAACTCTCCAAAGTCAATGTACTCTCTCTGTATGTCACCTCTCGCTACAAGTCTCGACTTAGCATAGTGGGCCATCCAAACTCATCTGCCTTCCAATCGAATACCCACTAAGCGTTAATTGCGTTNAATGTGCTACCAAAATCAAAACAACACATCCATCCTCAATCAAACGAAACACACAAGCATCGGCCATGCACTGCTCGAAACCTAACAACACCAAACACTTCGTCAGCATTGCATGCCACTGCCTAGATGCCTGTCTCAAGCCATATAGACTCTTGCCTAGTTTTACAATCATTCCAGATAAAGCTCCACATCCCTGCGGCAAACGCATGTACACGTCTTCCTCTAACTCCGAACGCACAAAAGCTTGCTCAATATCGAAATGACACAAGTCGAGGTTCAACTCGCACGCCAAAGCAGCCAACATCCTAACACATGAAACAGAAACGGTAGGCGCGTACAACTCTCCAAAGTCAATGTACTCTCTCTGCATATCACCTCTCGCTACAAGTCTCGACTTAACCTTAGTGGGCCATCCAAACTCATCTGCCTTCCAATCGAATACCCACTTAGCGTTAATTGCGTTCTCCACTAATTGCTACTTCGCCGGAGTAAAAGTTCCCGCTTCCAACAAGCCATAAAACTCCCTTTGCATAGAGTCGCTCCACAGGTGCCGGTGCTCCGACGCCATGGCCTCTTTGTAGCTCTTTGGAACACGAAGATCGCTGGCCTGGCAGTGCGGAAGGTCAGGGCGTTGCTCCGGCGGGCGCTGGTCTCGCAGCGTGACGTCGACGTCTTCCCGGTTGGCGAGGAGCGTGGCAAATGCGAGTGGGAAGCCCGCTCTTGCAGCCCCCGGGTCCACTGCTGCGAGTGCTCCCGCCTGCTCTCCGGCCCCCGTTCCCCCCNTCCGACGCCATGGCCTCTTTGTAGCTCTTTGGAACACGAAGATCGCTGGCCTGGCAGTGCGGAAGGTCAGGGCGTTGCTCCGGCGGGCGCTGGTCTCGCAGCGTGACGTCGACGTCTTCCCGGTTGGCGAGGAGCGTGGCAAATGCGAGTGGGAAGCCCGCTCCTCCAGCCCGCGGGTCCGCCGCTGCGAGTGCTCCGCCCTGCTCTCCGGCCCTCGCTCCCCCCGGCTCCCTGCGCTCCTCATCCACCGCGCTCCGAGCCTCCAGCATCGACACCAGAGTGTTGTTGTCTAGCATCGAGATATGTCCTGTGCTGTGCCTTGTGCCCGATCTCGTGCGGCTTGGCAGCCGCGGGTCTGTCATACCCTCGGCCTTTGTACCCGTTGCTGGACGATCTCCTCCACTTTTTGTTGTAGTTCTTCCCCGCTAAGGGCGGAGAGGTCGATGCCCTCCATGGTGTCTGTTGTTGTGGGCTACCGATTGCGCGCACAACCCCCGGAAGGCTACGCCCGCGCGCAGATACCGTGATATCGCAGTAGTGTGAAAGGTAAACTACGCGGGGTGCAGCAAGCCCGTCCTGGGCGTTACTTGGGGCACTGGGTAGTCGGCCGTATTAGGCCGAGAGTGAGAGGTTGAGAGATTGAGAGAGAGGTGTAGAGAGAGTGGGAGAAGGAAACTTGATTGGAAAGAAACGGCGGTAGCGGTGGAAGGAGAGAAAAAAGAAAAAAGTGTGGCGCAACACGCACGCAAGCCTCATCGTTCCAACCGCGCCAAAAGGGTCCCCGTGACTGCACCGGTGGTACCCTACAGCACACGAAATTCCCAACACGTATCCTCTTGGGATCCTCACGACCAGATACTGCTGCGAGTATATCTAACACGGTACTACATCGTCTCCATCTCCCTCTGGGTCGTTGCAGTCATCGCGAGAGGGTGATGACGACAGGCGGCAACTCTTATTACCGTGGGACCTCAACCACGTCAGCAGTGCCCTGGATCAGGTTCGACAAGATCGTCAATTTTTTCGACAAACACGTCGATCCGCAACTAACTGGCGAAAGTATTTTGCAAACACTTCCAACATGTCGTCATCCTCTTCGTGCAAGTATTTGGAGCTGTACACATGAATCATCAGCAGAAGTCAGATACTGTCTCTCCTCTTGCAGCGGAAAAAGTTATGAAGCAGCACATGTTGAAAGACGACTCCAACTTGTCCGCGCAACAAAGTTGCTTCATCTTACCCCAGCATTGCATGAATCGACTGATGGAAGGATGAACAGGGTATTGCGAAGGTGTACCGATTCAGTCAGGTAAAAGTCAACCGACTGATACCCTGCGAATCGGGTCCTCCTTGACACTCTCCGCCCACAGAATTGACCCTCAACTGGGAACCTCCTGTGGCCAGTATGGGTAACTCACCCACAGAAGTTACCCTCAACTGGGAACCTCTTGTGGCCAGGATGGGTAATTCGATGGAAGTGTAACAAGGTTCTTTTAGTAGCATCGACTCCAAGAGGTGCTCTCAGGACTGACACACATGGCGGGGGGCGTAGGATTCCGGGGCGGGCAGGAGAGCGACTGGGTGTCTCGTCTAAGACAGGACCTCGTGGCCTTCAACATGGGAGACAAAAATGAAGGTGGTAAATGGAAAGAGAGCGCCAAGGACCCGGAGGTGTGGTACAACAAGGTCGAGGACGGGGCGGCATGGTTCACGAGGAAATGGCACAGGCAGGAAGCGGAAGCGTCCGCGAAGCGCCAGCGCGCGAGGGAAGCAGAAGCAGAGAGTACGGTCATCTCAGGACCGAAGAGAAAGAGAGGCGGGGAAGCGGCGGTGGGGGGGGAGAAACGGCGACCGGGCACTGCTGTAGA